GGCACCCCCAGCCAGACCCCCCCCCGTGCCCCCCCAACTTACAGCTCCAGGAAGATGAAATACTCCTTGCGGGTGATATAGACATCCACCAGCTGCAGGATGTTGGGGTGCTTCACCCTGCGGAGAGACGGGGGAGTCAGCGGGGGGTCCCCGCTTTGCCCAATGGCACAGGAGCCCCCCCGGCCCCAGCACTCACATTTTGAGGATGATGATCTCGTTTTTGGCCGCCTTCCGCACTTTCCGCCCATCCCGCTTCAGAAACTTCTTGCAGGTGTACAGCTTCCCCGTCGTCTTCTCCTTGGCCCGGAAGATTTCGCAGAACTCCTCCCTGGAAGGGCGCCCGCAGCTGTCACCCCTCCCGGGGACCGCCGAGCTTGGGACGCTCGGGTGGCCCCTGGGCCCACCAGCATCCCCCCCATCCCAGTGGCAAGGGGAGATGCCGCAGGGGTGGAAGGAACCTGCGGCTAAAAACCTCTCCGGAGCAGAGGGGAAAAAAAAAAGGGCAGTGAGAAGGAATCGATATGGAATAAGCATATTGATAAGAAGGGAAAATTTGCTGATTAAAAAGCCCCCTCCCCACGGCAGCTGGGGTGGGACCCGCTGCAAAGCTGCCCGTGCCAAGGCAGAACAGCAGCACACCCCGACATCAATGTGAGCACCGCAGTCGGGAAGAAAGAAGGGGAGATGTGCCGGTTGCCCGGGGATGCTGCAATATTTCTGTTCTATTATTAATGGAGCTCGAGCCCATCGGCCGGGCAGGAGCCGCGGGGGAGCCCGTGGGGGGCACTCGGCACTGCTCTGGCAAAGCCTTTGGCTTTCCAACCCCCCAGGCTATGCCGAAATCCTCGTGGCTGCTGTCCCGGGTGCAGGGGAACTGGGACCCATGGGCTTTGGGACAGGCTGCCCAGAGGATGGAGCAAAGCTCTGAGAGCACCTAAAAAGGTCCCCGATGCCACCCAGTGTCACCCTGCCAGGCGTGACCCACGGCCAAGCGGTCCCGGTGTTTCGGAGGTTGACGGAAAAATTTCTGGCACGTGTTTTGGGATCAAACTGCTCTCAGTGGGTCTGAGGACTTCGTTTTGTGGAGTGCTTCCTAATGGGTCCCCCAGCACGGCAATAAAAGTTGGGGGTAAGCAGCAGCACTCCGCTCCCTCCCAAATGACATCTGCCCTTTCCTTTGCCGGAGCACTCGGGGGAGCCAGGATTGTGCGGAATTGCTGCAATCTCCGCAGATCTTGGGGGGGAGGAGGGAGGGATACGGGGAGCCGCCCGGCTGCAGCCGGCAGCAGCAGGGAAACCTCGTTGCCCTCCTTGGAGCCAGCGGCGAATACCCCCATGCACCCGCCAGCGAGAGGGATTAATTAGGGGACAGCCACCGCGAAATGCAATCTGCCCATCCCAGCTGGGGACCGGCACCCCAAAAGCTCCCGCGGGCAGCATCGTGCTGCTCCTCAGCCTGGGGCATGCAGGCGGTTGGGGTCCCCGGGGCACCCCCGGGGCCGGGGAGGGACCAACTCACGTTTTGATGACCTGGCCCAGGTCATATCTGTCGGTCACCTCGGACGGCTGGTTATAATCTTTCTTGTCTCCCAGCGTCACGCAGCCAAACGGCATCGCAGGGCCCGGTAGGCGTGGGGGGGGGGAGCGCCCGCCCCCGCCCCCCCCCCGCCGGTCCCCCCGGAGCCGTGCCAGGCCCCCCCCCGAGCAGCGCTAATTAATGTAAAACCTGACAAAGCGCGGCTGCTGCTCGTGCTCCCTGGCTGCCGCAAGCCACCATGTGCCCAGCCCCACCGATGTGCATCCATCCCCGCGGCGTCCGGCCGCTCTGCTTGGGCTCGGGCTGCCAGCGCGGCCGCAAGCCGGCTCCTCTGGCTCTCATCTGCAGATCATTAATGATTTATCAAGTAGCCAGGGCTAGCGCAGAGCCCGGAGCACCCGCTGGGGAGGCAAGCAGAGGCGAATGGACCCTTTTCCCGTTTCTCAGCCCAGTTTTGCCCTGCAGTGACATTTCTGTAGCCGGGGCTTCCCCGGGCAGAGCATCGTCGCATGCCATAACACACGCAGCGAGTTACACCAGCCTCAGCTCCCCGACTCTTACCAGCCCCGACAGCCCCGCTGCGCACCAGGCAGGTGGGCACGGCGGTTCGGCAGTGCCAGCCCTCCTGCCGCCAGCAGCGGGCAGGACACCGGCCCCAGCACGTGCCGGTTCCTCCGGCCCTTTAGGAACGACATTTTGCCCTTTGCTTTCCTGCCGGGAACCCTTCGAAACCAGACCCTGCTCGGAAGCTTCCCAGCAAAAAATTGGTCCCATAAAGAGATTTTTTCCTTTTCCCACCCCATTACCAGGAGGAAGTTTCAACTGACGTTATTTTCTGACGGCTCAGAAGGAGAAAGGGCTCCCAGGCCCCCCCAGCCCTCTTGGATGGGCCCGAGCGGGACCCCACGATGGGATGCTGGCACGACACTGGAGGCACCCATCGCCCGTTGCTAAAGCTCCCAAAACACCATGCTGCGACATGCCGGCCTTGCCGTGCCGTGCCGGCAGCGCCCGGGGCCCGGCGGCGAGGGCTGCGGGCAGGATGGCAGTGCGGGATGCGGGAGCCGGCATCGCGGGTACCCAAGCACCGAGCCTGTTGCTATGGCAATGGGAGCTGGAGATGCAGAAAGCGGCACATCCTTTGGAGGGGGCAGGGACGGGCAGCACCCGGCGGCACCCGACCCACCTGCGGGTGCACGGCCCCATCCCTGCTGTGCGGGCCCCAGGAGGAAGGTGGTCCTGCCCACAGCACCCAGGGCATGCACCTAAGCACTCCCTGGGGTGATTGACCCCAAATCTGGGTGGGACATGGGTGCAGTGAGCCGGGGAATGGGGGGATGCTCCTTCCTGCCTCCATCCCTCGGGGGTGACCTGCCTCCGTGCCTGCCCAAGCGATGCCCACAGGATGGGTGCTCCCACCTCACACGACACCCAGGCACCCTCCTGCTGGGAAAGCCCATGCCAGGCAAGGGCACCCATCCCCGTCCCGCTCAGGGTGCACCCACTCCCGAAAGAGAAGCAAAGCACCCATGGGACACCCTTCCCTGCACCACAGACCGGGTGAGGTTTTCCAGCCCATGCTTGGCTCATCTCAACAGCCTCCCCGGCAAACGTGCCCTGCCTGGCACCTCCGTGCCCCCGTGCCATGCGACGCCAGCTCTGCCGTGCCACCGTGCCCGGCCAAAGGGACGAGGGCTGTCCTGGCAGCTGCCGGTGCGGCAGCAGGCTCGGTACCGCGGGCCAGCAGAGGCAGGGCTGGCCTGCGGGCAGGCGGGAAGGCTGCCAGCACCGGTGGCGTGATGCCAGGATTAGCCGGGAAGGGGACCCGGACAGGATGATATATCGGGATTTTATTGCTGTCTCCGCGAGTGCTCAGCTAATCTGCGCTCATAAAATTAGTTCCCGTTGGTTTAGCAGGGACCCATCCTGCTGGGGCTGAGCACCGGCATCCTCCCCTGCCCCAGGCTGGCTCGGGGGGGGGCTCAGTGCACCCGGGGTACCCCGCAAGGGAGGCTGGCACCCAGCCCCACATCGGGGCCAGCACCTGCGCCCCACAGGTGAGAGCACTCCCACCGTGGCAGGGGCACCCAGGCAAGGGGTGGGC